TCGTATTGTAAAACATGAAACATTTTTCCGATCACAAACACGGCTTAAGGTTAGCAGTAAAATGTGAGCAGTCAGCGAAATGTATTCACCTGCCGTAGACCCTCACTGCGAGGCTAGAGAGTGTGTCAGCTACCTGGTTGAGCTCCTACCTGTGTGTGTAACTCACGATACTAAAAAAAAAACAACACGGAGTTTACGTTTTTCGGCTTTTAAAAAGTGTTTGGTGAAGTTTTTATTCAGTGTGTGCGTATAGATCTAGTGGTGCGCGATTTAAATTTAATAGATGTTTTCTTTCATATTGTTTAGGGTAAATAAAATTTCCTCAGAAATTTTTTTTTTCTGTCGCAGTCAAAATATTTTTAAAAAGCTTTTAACGAGGGATTTAATGCATCTTTAATTTGTGTTGATTTAGCTGAGGGCTTTATTTTAATGCTTAGAATTATCAAAGATAAATAAATCCATGAAAAGATTTATATTTCGCCATGTATTTCATAGCAAATTATATATAATATTTCTTCCTGATGACGAAAGTCCTAACCTTTGATTTTTCGCGCAAGGTGATATGAAAAAAATATCCTTGACATCTAGGCCTATAAATAACCTCCCAGTTCACGTGAATACTAATTGTGTAAACAATGTAAACCAAAACAAGAAAAAAACTTTAGAAAATGTATTTATGAAATCTGCAACTTTGTTTTAAAAACAAAAAGAAACCAATAAGCTAATTTGAAACACAGGAAGGGACAATAGAGTAATCGATTCATTTTTTTCAGCTGGTATCGCTATTAGTAATTCGGGTCAGGGTTATAGTTTGATATCGGTTTTAAAAAAAATATTTGTTAGACTACAATCTTATTCTGAAAAAATTGCAATTAAACCTTCAATAGAGATCCAAATATTATCTTAGTAGATTTCTATCCTGTTAAATTGACCGATCCAAAACATCAGGTAAATCGAGAATATTTGCCGAGACCTATCGGTTTTTTTTTTACTTTTTAGATCTATATAAACAACAGGTAAATCGAGAAATTTGCTAAGACAACCTCACGTGTCAGCCATTATTCAAGCGGTGTCCATTCAGATCGCCTTTACTACTCTCCCCCCCCCCCCCCGCGCTGTTATGTTTTGTTCGGTCAGTTCTTTAACCCCGCAGTGTCACAGCATGTTCGTTTTTTTTTTTGTTTCTAAGTAGTCCCTTTGTTTACGTTAGTTACTGGATAAAGATTTACATCACTCCACATTCACCACTCGGATTGGTCTTTAAAAAAAAACAAAAAAAAAACAACAACAAACGAACATTGTGCATATTTAATTTGTTACACCACGTCAGCAAATGTGGAGGGGTGGATGGGGTGGGGGGGGCTAACCTTTGACCTGCTTATTTAAAACATCTGCCTGTGTATACACGTAAACTACATCTGCCCCTATATAAACTTTTAAAAAAACTATAACCCCTACAGTTTTAGTTCAATATTTTTGTCAACCGTTTCATATCTGATGTGTTGGGACCAATAATTTTTATTTAATTGAGGAACCGGAATTCACATCGTTGGTGTTTAATTGAGCTATACTGATTTAAATCGTGTGCAGTTGATCGATTGGGAATCAATTTAATCATTCGCAATGCCAGCAATTCAGGTAAGTTTTCACAACCTTTTTCATAATTCAGAATATTTAATTAACAACCCATCATTTATAAATACTTTCTAACACGTGGCGTTGGATGTAAAAGATATGTAAAACAATGTCTTAAATTTTGGCGATTTATTGAGGCTTCGATTCCATTCTTATACATACCCCCCCCCGCCCCCCCCCCCACACAAACATACCCTAATTCCCTTCATTCACTGTTACAAACATAGGCTGTACGACAAGAGATCATGTGGAAATGTCATGAAACGAGTTATCTCTCTTTGGTAGCCTAAACTAGTAAAATAGAATTTAAAAACAACAACATTATGTTGTCCAACAAACGATTCAAAATTTCACGCGAATTTATTTAATCACCTCAACCTATGTCATTTATTGCTGGAATTTAAAAAAAAAATGGGACGCTCTTGTTTTGGACGAACCTAACTATTTCTTCCTCTTATTATTGTAAATACTCCTTCATACTTCTATTGTGTCCTGTGATTGATACAGTGTTCCTTTATTATGTTTGGTTAAATCAGCTGCAGTGTTTCTTCCAGACTTTTTTCTCCGGGGGTGGTGCGGACGCTGTTAAAAGTATATATTTTCTATATAAATTCCTTTTCGCTCGGGGTGCGGGCGGGGGGCGGTAGACTTTTTTTTTTCCGAAGATATGCCTGGAAGAAACACTGATCCGCTATTGCACGAACACAGGCTATAGTTATAGTGAACACAAACCGATCATACCCATCTAGGAATGAGACCTCACAGGCTTGACTAGTCACAAGGGAGATAATCTAGTACTTATGTTTCCGCGATGTCGGCTTGTGAATGGATTGTATGGTTAGCACCATGTCCAGCCGCCTTTACTTTTTATGGTACCTATTAGAGGGGTGAACTTATTTAAAAGTAACACATTGTGGCTATATGTTGATTTTAATATTACCGCCGTAGTTTTGCAGTTTTCCGAAAGTTCAATAGAAGCGTCAATAACGTTAACTTACTATTACGAGCTGACCCGCGACGTAGCATACGCCGCTATTTAGTTGTTTTATTTTCTACTTATCAACAATTCATAATTTGTAAATTCGACACTATCCCCCCCCCCCCCCCCCCCCCCATCCCGCCCATTGAAAGCAGCCGTTTACAGACGACAATGAAAATATCAAGCAGAACTTATTATCGCCCCTCAGTTTCCAATCGTTTAAAAACTAAATTATCTGCCCCTAATAGCCGTCATTTGTTCAAACCGGCTCTACTATTGTAAACATTCGGGGTGAACCACGGCTCACCTGACAGGTGGGGGATGAGGGTGGTGGCTAAGCTGCGTGGTGTCTCGTATCATCGTATGGTCCCCATGAAGAGAATTATATATAGAAGATAGAAGTAAGAACGAGTTATTTTCGCGTGATGCGTCTGTCGCGCGAGTGATTGCCCTTTAACAAAGCTTTTGCTGGTAGAGGGAGTTGTGGGGGCGAAAATAAAACAGGTTCTCTGTACACAAATCAATAACACTGTTTGCTTGCACTAATGTATGTACACAAACTGACAACAACAAATTAACGAAATGTACGCTTATTGATTTTTTCTGTTAGTTTTAAAATATAAGTTTTATTATCGGCGTGCTGATAATCTATCAACTATCATGTTGTAAATTATTTGACTCATGACTACATACTGGGTGAGTGAAACCGTTAAAACTCATCTCTAAGACATCAGTTGGCACTGTGCCAAAATGTAGTGTGTGTTTGTGTGTCTTCGCGCGCATGTGTGTGTGTTGGGGGGGGGGGGTCAGGATGAATTTTTTTCTTGTTTGCATAGAACGACAGGTTTACAGTGTCCATGTAGAAAATGAGAATCATTACCAAGTGGCATTGAAGAGGTGAAGGGACAAAACACACTATGTCAACATTCACACTAAGTAGGATTCCGTGGACTAGCCTTGAGGAACTGGGTTGGCTTTCAGCAGACATGCGTTAAGGAACTGGGTTGGCCTTTAGTAGACTAGCGTTAAGGAACTGGGTTGGCCTTTAGTAGACTAGCGTTAAGGAACTGGTTTAGCCTACATTGGACTAGTTTTAAAGAACTGGGTTGGCCTTTAGTAGACTAGCGTTAAGGAACTGGGTTGGCCTTTAGTAGACTAGCGTTAAGGAACTGGGTTGGCTTTCAGTATACCGGCCATGAGGATGTGGGTTGGCTTTCAGTAGACTCTTGCTTAGTCCTCGCTAGAACCAAATGGGCTGCTTGTTTACGCACTACAGGCAGATGGTCTTTCTTGTCGTTCAAAAACACTGTGCCTTTTCTAGAATTGCATAGTCACACTATATAAAATACGTAACACTGTAAATATCCATCAATGCTAGACAGATGAAACATAGCAAGAGCAACCACAGAAAGGTAGGTTAGATACAGAGGCGTAGCGACCCTTCCCGGCGCCCGGGGACAAACTTTTCGATTTGCACCCCCCCCTCGAGATTTTGATTTGCACCCCCCTCAAACTTTCGATTTGCACCCCCCCCCCCCTCGAGATTTCCATTTGCACCCCCCCCCCTCAAACTTTCAATTTGCACCCCCTCAACCTTTCAATTTATTTTTCCAACCCATTTTGGCGCCCCCTAAGGTCGGCGCCCGGGGACATATGTCCCCCCCCCCCCGCCCCCCCCTCGCTACGCTACTGGTTAGATATCAATATCATTGCCCGCCCCCCCCCCCCTTAGATTTTCCTTATCCTACAGTTTTCTCATGGCGGCGATTGTTTTAGTACGTTCGTTCTGAGATTGTTGTGTGAGGTGTTTGCTCTGTGAGGTGTTTGTTCTATAAGGCGTTTGTTCTGTGAAGCGTTTGTTCTATAAGGCGTTTGTTCCTTTGAGGTGTTTGTTCTGTGAGGTGTTGTGTGAGGCGTTTGTTGTGTGAGGTGTTTGTTGTGTGAGGTGTTTGTTCTGTGAGGTGTTTGTTCTGTGAGGTGTTTGTTCTGTGAGGTGTTTGTTGTGTGAGGCGTTTGTTGTGTGAGGTGTTTGTTGTGTGAGGCGTTTGTTATGTGAGGCGTTTGTTATGTGAGGTGTTTGTTGTGTGAGGTGTTTGTTGTGTGAGGTGTTTGTTGTGTGAGATGTTTGTTGTGTGAGATGTTTGTTCTGTAATGCGTTTGTTGTGTGAGGCGTTTGTGTGAGGTGTTTGTTGTGTGAGGTGTTTGTTGTGTGAGGTGTTTGTTGTGTGAGGCCTTCGTTGTGTGAGGTGTTTGTTGTGTGAGGCGTTTGTTGTGTGAGGCGTTTGTTGTGTGAAGCGTTTGTTGTGTGAGGCGTTTGTTGTGTGAGGCGTTTGTTGTGTGAGGCGTTTGTTGTGTGAAGCGTTTGTTGTGTGAGGCGTTTGTTCTGTGAGGCGAATGATCTACGTACGTTCATTCTGAGAGGCGTTTTTTCTGCCAGGCTTCACTGTAATTTCAGAACCAAGGACGTTCTATCTGTAGCTGTGCCAAGTTTTAACTAACTTTGATACCAAAATATATTTGTATCAGCTCTCCGCTCCCCCATATCATTACATTTGATTACATAAATGTATGTACTAATATATAAGAACGTATTTCAATTAGTTTAAAATGTTCTTGGACAGATGAACCACATGTTACATATTCCCATAAGTTACATACGGTATAAGTCATACGGAATTATCCATAACTTTACGGTAGTACACAGCATGAATTTATTTTACTATAAGAATTGTTACAGGCATGCACTCGAGGAATACATACCATTGTAGATCGTGTAATGATAATTTAAAGTGTTTCCTACTCCAGTCTGTCGCAAACACCCCTCCCTCCCATGCTTCAAACTATCACAAAGTTACCCTTTTAGTTTTATGGTCAGTTCTATGCCCCTCCGCCTATTCTTTCCCTAACGCTAGTCAGGTACCAATGAGAGCTAGGTGGATTCAATGACGTCTCCGGACTCGAGCCCGAGATCCGAACTCGAGACTTTCGGGTTAGCATTTATGTGCTCTGTAGTCCGACCACACAGTCCCATAAACTGCCACAAAATCAGCTAAAGTTACAAGTCCATAATCGCAGTGATCGGAGCAACACCTTAACTCTCCCCTCCCTCCCTCACACACCCGCACATACACGATCAACCAAAATTGTGTGCAGTAGGGTAGCGGGGGGGGGGGGGGGGGACGGACATATGTCCCCGGGCGCCGACCTTAGGGGGCGCCATAATGGGTTGGAAAGATAAATTGAAAGGTTGAGGGTGGTGTAAATCGAAAGTTTGAGGGGGGGGGGGTGGAAATGGAAATCTCGAGGGGGGATGCAAATCGAAAAGTTTGTCCCCGGGCGCCGGGAAGGGTCGCTACGCCTCTGATTATGTGATAGCATTTATTTAATCACCTCAACGTGAATTTCCGGCACTTTTGTGATTATAGATCGGGTTCAGGCTTTTTACTATGTTTGTTGATGCTGAGTTGTATCTTTTTTTAAAAAACTTTTTAACTAAAAGAACACTGCATGCCTACACATTCCGTTAACAATAAATAAAAATGCTACATTTTTAACGAGAATTTTTTTCTCTCCTCCAACAGGGAACAACAGAACATGGTAAGTGTCTAACATCTGTTCATTCTTAAATAAACATTTTGTTTGCAGAAATATTTACAAAACAACCAAATTGTTTATTTAAATATACTTCTTCAATAAACGTAACTTTTAAGCTAAAGAAATAAAATAATTTACCTCATGTTGCTGATTTACGAAGCAAACACCTGTTATTTGTGTTGCATTAGTCATGTGCACAAAGAAGACAATTTTTTATTTATATTCCAAACTGGAGTGGATTACCCTTGACTAGGGGAGATAACTCTTTGATAAAATCAGAAAAGTGCTGTAGAAAACTCGGCGTTTGGGGTGGGAGTGAACTTTAAAGCTATACATCAGACAAATTATTTTGTTAATGTTGGATATGATATCAACATTAGTGGAGGGAAGATTATATGATAACGTTGTTGCGATTTGTAGTTGCGAGTAATCATTTAATGGAATAGATTACACGAGTTTAAAGAATTGCACTTTCTGTATAAGTGCATACCCATTCTATTTACTGTTGAATATGACATCTATAGCATATGATATTTATACGATATCCATGCTCAAAATTGTTTGGTTCAAAATTACATTACAAGTGATTCCATTTTATTAACTATATGTGATGTTGGCAAGAGTTCTTGTTATGAGGGGGCGGGGGTGGTGGTGGTGGTGGGGGGGGGGGGGTGATTCCATATTTGAAATTAAAATAGACGCGAGCTGTAATGTTGGTGTCCATGGGGGCCGAGTTATAATCCCCACACCAACAATTAGCCTGCCTATGTCCCTGTTTACATTATACATTTATTGTAATGGTTGTGGTACATGTATTCTTGTTCTACTCTTATGGTGCTCCTCGCTTCTATTTTTTATTTTTGTAAATCATGAATTTCATTTTATCACCTGTCATGAGTTACAAGTACAATTCTGTCAGTTGTTATATAAAAAAAAGTTGGCATGATGAAGAAATATTAGCACGCATCTTTGTGTTGCATGTCAATACACACGATCCTTCCTCCATCTATTGAATGTTCCTACACAGATGGCTCACATTTATGCGTATGAGCGTAGTTTTTTTTTTTAAAATAAGTATCATGGGCAGATAATCATCAATGTACTACTATACTAACGATCATTTCCCTTTGTTTGATTTTTTTTTAATTTTTTAAAAAAATTTTTAAATTGATAAATTGTTTAGGATATTGTAGTTTTAGCTCATTCTTGAGCCTATTGAGGTGAATTAACTTAGTGAATTGAAATTGAGTGTTGTGCTTGTTTTTTTTTATTTAAAAAATAACACTAAAGTTACCTGAGGGTTGGTTTATTTTTCAGTGTTAGATGTCAGATGTACTTATTTATAGTGAATTATCTATATTAGAGGAGGGAAACTAGACAAATTAGCCAATTCTCAAATATATAAAAACAAATGTAAATTTTAAAAAATTTTCTGTGAGTGAAAATCTGATTTCTCTGTATAACTGATACACAAGTTGGGAACTTATTATCCTGAGATTCTTGACACTTCTAAGCATAATTTTTTTTATTAATGAGACAAATCTCCTTTATTTCTCTGAAGGAATCAAGCTTTGTATGTAAATAAATTGTTCTCTGTATTTGAAATGTTTCTCTGTAAATGTTGATGTTTTAGCCCCAGATGATGATGATGATGATGGTAGGGTACCAGTAGAAGATGAGATGACAGCTATGGAGGCAACATTTACTGGTGAAAATGGGGGAAACCCACATTATACTGCAGAGTTAGATGGTGAGCTGTGCTAGGTGGCGCCACCTACCCAGTGTTTAGTGTCAGTGTTTTAAAACTGTTAGGTCGTGTAGGTGTTGGTAAATTCAGTTTTACTGTTGTATCACAGTTATTTTAAACATAGCTTTTTTACTTTCCTAAATCAAGACTGTAAGACTTTAAAACTTTTAAACAGTTGCTGTCCCTAATCCATAAAACAATTAGGCTGCTTATAAAAATATAATTATAAATTTAATTAAAATTATAAATTAAAATAATTTTTAAAAATAACACTAATAAGATTTATAACGGATTTGAAAAATTAACTAATTCAGCATAATAATTAGTACAACGATAATAATTTATTTCTTCACTTTATACTTATACTGCACTTTCTGCGTCACATTTTCAAAACTTAAATTTTTAAAGCATCACATACATATTTTAGAACTATCAAATACACCCTTATAGAACATTTGTTGATTTTTAAATTTTCAAAATCAATCCCCATAACAACTAGGAAAAAAACTGTAGATCAAGAGCATGCACTCTTTTCAAAGGGCAGCTACTTTATTATAGGAATCAATTACATTTTGTTGTACCCAATATTTGTAGCTCAGTGATCTCAAAGTCCAAATGTAAGCTTAGTATAGTAAAGTATGTCTGTCTGTTATGTCTTGTGTACTTAGTGTACTAGCCTAGTATAAATACTTTTAAAGATTTAACAGACTAGCTCTCATCAAAATTGATATATATTTTATCAATTAATTGTAAATCGTTCAGAAATAAGTATAATTAACTGTAGAAGCATTACAATTATAAGTATAGAAATAAAAATATATCTTGTGGGTTTTACAGAAGAAAATGGGTTTGAAGAGTATGATAAAGTTGTTGAAGATGATGTTGTTGATCATGGATTAGTGGAGGAAGAAAACGAAGGCGATGATCAGGATAATGAAGAAAAAACAGATGTAGATAATGATGTAGTTAATGAAGAAGAGAGTGGCAATAATGAAAAAACAGATGAAGACGCTGGTATAGAAAATGAAGAAAATGCTGATGTAAATATAGAAAATAATGATGAGGACCAAGCAGGTAATGTTGGTCTTCAATTACAAAAGAGCCATATACTATCTAATAATAGTTTTGAGTTTTGCCTAGTTGATCAGTAGCATTGAGGGATGAGGGTAACAGCAAATGCTAGTAGACAAACGTATCTTTACTAACAGTGTGATTAACAATAGTTCTAATGCCTTGCTTGTCACAGTATTATTTTAATCACTTCTTTTTCGTTCTTGAATCTTGTTCTCATTTCAGTCTTTAAAAGTTTTTTTGTCCTGTTTTATGAGACATATTATTTTGGTGACAAAATATAATTATAATTTCTTAAGACATAATAAAAGGTGTCCACATGCTGAATTTTCTTAAGCATGATAATTATAATTTATAATATATGATTTTTAATATTAAATAATAATGTTTAATTTTTAATATTCTAAACTTTAAGTACAATTAGAAATTATGTAAATAATAAAAATGTAAAATAAAAAAGATATTTTAAATAACTAGGAGACCTCTTTAAAAAAAAGACTGAAATTTTAGCAATTTCCAACAAATCTTCTCATCTCTTTATATTATGCTTATAATAAAATCAAGACCAGAGTTTCTTCCACATCCCCCCCCCCCCGAAGAAAGTCTACCGCCCCCCAAATGAGATGGATTTTATATAGTAAACATACATTTTTATTAGTGTTGACCCCCACCCCCCAAATTTCAAGTGCCCCCCCCCCCCCCCCCCCCTCAGAGAAAAAAGTCTGGAAGAAACACTGATCAAGACTGACAGCCAGAAGGGTTTTATATAGTTGACTAGAATTTTGAATTATTTTCAAACTCAAAGTTTACCTGATGTATCTAATGCTGTCCATAAAGAATAAAAATAAGTTATAACTAAAGTTTTGTTTACTTTTCAATTTTTATATTAAACCATAAAACACAAGTTGATGCCCCTGGCTGTTTGTCCATAAGCCGTAAAAGTAAACTAACCTGTTTAGACTATTGTTACTGTTCTTTTTTGATGCACCACCCTCTTAAACATCAATATATTCAAAGAGCTTACTTTATATTGTGCTTGTAACCCAATATCATCATCACAAACCATTGTACAGTTATTAAACATATAACAGTTATTTTTAAAAAATATTTTTTCAGTCATTGTTTTAAAAGATAATGTAACCTTTTAAAACATTATTAAATTTTATTTTCATTGTTACTTTTATTTTTGTTTGTAACATTCATCTTAAAATGCTTGTTCCATTATTTCGCTGTAATTGTAAATAACGTTAAGTTTTTTTAAAACTGCAGCATGGGGCAATTAAAGGTATGTCAACGTTGATACATTATGAACTATTTTGTTTGCAAAATGAGATAAAAACCGCATAAAATTTAAATTAATGAACAAGAAATACATTTCTTAGTAATACACAATTAAAATCTATTTACAGTTAAAGATGTCATCATTTATATTAAAAATATTTTTAGAAAGATAGATATCAGTTCAATTTTTAAAACCACAGAAACTATCAAAATACTTAAATATTTCTTTTTCTATTTTTTAAGTGGATATTTTTTAAATTAATTATATATGAAATATTTCTTTTTATTTTTCAATGTCTTGAGCATAGTTCACCTGTATAAAGCTGCAAATATAAACCGTCACATTCACACTATTCTATTATTTCACTCTACCAGCTTTTTTTTTAAAGAGTACCCTTTCACATTTATACTATAACATTTTATATTCAATTTTAATAAAAAACATTTTAACTTCATTTTTACAACATATTGAAGATTAAAGTATTTCTAAATTATTATATAATTATTGTTTTTAAAAAACTAAACTTTGTTTTGACAATTTACCTTTTAAATGTATATACATTTTTTCAAGGGAAATCAAGAAGAACAAAAAACTTAGTAAAAACTTGAGCTGTTTTCCCCCTAATTTTTTATCACAGATTAGCCGTGAATAATTTATAATTTGCTTTTAAATTATTTATATGATTAAACTTCTCAAACTTACAGATTAAAGAGGAAAGCATGGATAAACAACACTTATTGGTTCACACATTCTTTGGACAATTATAGAGAAAACAATTGGAAAATCATAAATGACTCTAAAAGAAAATATATTTTCAGTGTAACATAACTGTAGTAATTTTTTGGAAACTGTTACTGGCAATGTTTTCAATTCATTTGTACTTCATGTTAATTATTATATAAGATGTCTGGTTAGGGTTCATTATATATTGTTCAGACAAAGCTACTACATTGAGAATTTCTGCTGTCAAGCAATCGGATTCATTCAAATGCAATCAGTTTGTCCAGTTTGTATAAGAAGATTTAACAATTTTTAGAGTAATTTTGAATGATAGATTTATTTAAAACAAAATATGAGGACTTTCAAAATTTTAAGAAAGGCTAGTAGATTGATAAAAACAATAATGCATTAAAATTAGTGTGTATACTTATACAGACATTTCCGTCAATAATGAATAGTTTTAGTGAGGTTGTAAAGATAAAGCCAAACACCTAAACAATATTTAATTTTTTTTAAAGACTGGTTACCATTCTATTTCTGTTTTTTAAAGGTTTTAACCTGGTTTTTGCCAACTTAACTATGTGCCTTTTGTTATTGTTAAAGAAAAAATTGCTCCATTACATAAACTATGATCTGATATTTTAAAATTAGTTTTAAAGAAAAAACAGCTTTAAAATATTTTTATAGGTTTTGTATTTTTAATGTGTGTTTCATATAAAAAACATGTTTAAAATATTTTTATTATGAAGAGAATATTAAAATAAAGGGTATATTATACCATCGAGGTGGTGTTATTAAAAATCAAGTAAAAAACAAGAATACAATGTTGTACATGGGAATGTTGGTCAGGTTATACTTGAACGATGTACACAGAAATGTTGGCTACAAACATTGGAAGAGAAAATTGAAAATTGTCACATAACTTGTGTTTAGTAAACATACTGTACAGTATAATTTTTGTGAAATACATTGATGTATGTTTTCACTAGATTCTATATTCATTCAAATGCATGGTTATAGTTGTTTATAGTTGGCACTTATTCTCTATAGAGATAAATGCCAAACATTCACACTTTTCTATACTATGAGTCATAATGTGTTTTTCACAGTTTCAAAAGCATTTTCATTTTGTTATTTTTTTTTTCCATTTATTGTAACAATAATTTGATTGTTAAAATTGAGTTAATTTTTTTCTAATCAATTTATTGAATACACTTCCATTTTTTCATGACCAATTTCTTTTTTGTGTAATTAAAAGTGAACCAAGTTATTCCATGACAAACTTTGTTATTTTATGTTGCTAAAAATTAAAAATAGTGGTACACACTTTGTTTTAATTTTAGGCTAGAAAATGCTTTGCTAAAAATATTTTAAATATAAAAAATTAAAATTACAGTGTCTAGATTTACCTTTTTCTTTTTTTTGGTTATAAAAGCAGCCACTTTAAATACTTGAATATCCAATTAACTTAAAACATTATGGACATTGTATTTTCTTTACATTTATGCTTCATAAAATAAACTTTTCTCAAAATACTTTCTGTTTTCCTAATTACATCAGAATATTTCATATGATGTCTTTCAAATACAAACACAGCCATTTATTGAAACAACATTAATGAAGCTGTGATGAAACATACCTATAATAAAAAATATTTGTAACACCTATTCCAAAACATGAAGAGGGTAGTCTTCAGTTTCCAGCAATATGTATTGTGGATATTATAAAAAGCGTCAAAAGAACGGATATGTTGAAGAAGTAATAGACACATGGAAAACTGGCTTATTAAAAAAAACAGTTTTGTTTCATCTGGTTGTGTGCTGTCTACCACTTATTTATTGGTGAAGTGTTTTGTTTTGTTTCATATCACAGGTTTGAGCTTTATCACAATTTTTAAAAATGTGTGGATTTTTTTTAAAATGTGTGTTGAAATTAATTGTAGCTGCACTGATAAAACTTAGTCAACAGATAACAAACACTAATTTATCCAATATATTTATTCCGACATTTTATGAGTATCAGTATATTCTGTTTTTTTTTCTCTAAAAATCTCATATTGCTCTGTCTATTTTTATATATTTTAAAACCTGTATGGAAATAAACGCCTTTTATTTTTTGCCTTTAGATTCAGTTGCTGCCATTATAATTCAGCAAATATATAGGGCTTTGACAGAAATGGATGAAGTAGCGCAAATGACTTTATACATTCAATTTGTGTTTACAAAATTAAATGTATATCTAATTTAGTAAAAAGGGAGGTAACTAATTTGGTGTATTACTCTAAAATATGCTGCTGATGTTATTTCAAAATGATTACAGCTGCAATAATATTCTGTATTTTACACTTTCAGATTTCAAAAACACTCCAGTGGTGTTTGTTATTGGTAGGTTTAATTTTTTTGTACCTACAGCTAGTTACCAAAATAAATTTTAAATAGGAAAAACCTTAAAAACCTGGCACACTTAAAATGCATAACTTTTGGACCATTTGTGAAGAGCCGTGTTTTTTTGCTAACTGCAGATGTTTTAAAGAAAGTCTTGTAAAAATAGAAGTTAAGCAGTTGTTTCTTTGAAGAGAAAAGTAAACAGTTTAGCGTTGTACTTGATTTATTTGTACAGGTGGGCCAGGGAGTGGGAAAGGCACCCAGTGTGAGAAGATTGTGAAAAAGTATGGCTTTACTCACCTGTCTTCTGGTGACCTGCTGAGAGAAGAGGTGGCTTCTGGGTCAGAGAGGGGCCACAAGCTGACAGAGATCATGGAGAAAGGAGAACTGGTCCCTCTGGTAAATTAACTTGAACGTTTTTTAACTCATGTAACTGCTGTATAGAAACCAATGGAGGACGTCCCCATTTTTGTGAAATCCATTTAAATTATACATAATGGAAATAATGCAAGCTTGTAGATTACAGTTGTATAATGATTAAACATAATTCAAATTTATTTATAACAAAATATGTTGCACTATTTTAATATTAGGTTAAACAAAAACTAATTTTTCTTGTCATTTCATTTCATTTCATGGACCTATAACATTTGTCCTCTATGCATTAAATAAGTTTTGAAAGTAATTTTTTTAAACAAATTAAAATTTTGCAGTCTATAAAATCTATGAAAAAAAAATTCAGATGATTACATGTTCTTCTTTTTAAAAATGTGTTTTTTCTTGTAAAGGAAGTGGTGCTGGGATTGATGAAGGAGGCCATGCAAGCCAAAGCTGCCACTAGCAAAGGTTTTCTCATAGATGGGTACCCCAGAGAACTCGAGCAAGGGTTGAGATTTGAAAAGGAGGTTTGTGCTTCATTTTAAAATTATGGCTGAAGCTTCATTTGTGGTAAATTTTGGTCGAAGTAAATATTTGTCAAATATTTTTCATAAATAAGTGATCTCTCAAACCATATTACATTTTTGTTCTCACTGTATTATTATTTTACCAAAATGTATCCATCTTGTCTTTAATTTCTGAATTATACTTAAAAAGCTGCTATTTATACAATTTTACATTCAGTTAATACTGATCAATTTTCTCTATAGGTGGCGCCGGCATCATTTGTTCTGTGTTTTGATGTGTCTGATGAAACGATGACCAAACGCCTCCTTGGCAGAGCTCTGACCAGTGGTCGTGTTGACGATAACGAGGAGACAATTAAAAAGAGATTGAAAACCTTCCATGACGTCACACAACCTGTAATTGACCATTACAGCAAAAAAGGCAGGGTCAAGATGGTGAGCTATGCAATTTATTTTTCTGTCCAAAGTTTTATGGTACTTTCTCTTCTTTGTTCTTAACTGTACTATTGAATGGGATATCCCCCAGCACTATTATGTATAACGTATATGAGTAAAGTTCCCTTTCAAACCTGATGGTCTATGGGGTAAGTGAAGTAGAGTTCACCTGTTTCTGTGAACTCTACATATGAAGGGATAGTGTGGTGCTCAGCCACCTTTACTTTCCCTAACATGAGTTAGGTACCCGTCAAAGCTGGGCGGACTCAGGAATAGTCTACGGTCTTGAACCCAGATTTGAATTCGAGACTTTTGAGTTAGTAGTCTATCTCTCTACCGCTAGGCCACTCCATAGTCTTTGTCAACCGAATAACTATCTGCAAAGCAGCAGTTGTTTGATTTTGGATTTTTTGGCTTAAATGGGTTGCTATCCCCAGCTAAAGAGGCTTGTCTGTACCATCATATAGTACAAAATTTGAAGTCTTTTCAAAAGTTTCCCAGTTATAATTTTGACTGTTCTTTCAGAATGAACATTTGATTTAGTTAGTATACGTTTGATCAAACTATCCGTTACAATAAAAACAAGCAATCAAACAATTCTGTGCGAATGGTGATTAGCATTTCAATTTGGTTAATTCATTGATTTATACAGACTAGTTAATCATACTTGTATTGACAATATTTCTATCCCAAATCTAACCATACATTTGCAAGTCTAAACTTCAAACCAAAATATGTTGTTATTGTTATGTAAAAAAAATATTTGGTTTCCTTCAACTATGTTTATGTACTTGTCTGTGGAAGCAGACGAGGACTTTTTAAAAAGCTGTATAAACAAGGCCAGATGTGCCTTCAACTCACTACGGCCGATTTGGAATTGTATAGACTTGTCACTCCAGCGCAAGATAAGAATCTTCAACACAAATGTTAAGGCAGTATTGCTTTATGGCTCGAGGACTCGGGGAGGGGGGGACCTATTCAAATACTAAAATACCAACAGAAAACAGTTGTTTACATACAGATGTATACGTCAAATCTTTCATATAAGATACAACGAAGACATGGAAAACCACAAAGGAACAGCCGATGGACAGGGAGATTGAAACCCGCAACTGGGGGTGGATCGGACATGCCTTGACATGGGACAATAACGCGAGTCAAGCATTGGGCTGGAACCCCCAGGGATGAGAAAAATCGCTGACCTGAGCAATCCAGGTGAAGGACGGAGGGTGGGGGGGGGGGGGGGGGAGAAGCAAGAGCTGCTGGGCTTACGTGGACTCAACTGAAGAAAGATATCAGTGGAGAGGGATAGCTGCAGTCTTTTGTTCGTCATAGACTTCATAGGAATAAGAAGGTAGTGAATCCCCCAGCATGTCTCTTGTGCTTTTACTGTAGTTATTGCCTATAACCAGTGGCGTAACAGGGTGTTGTAGGGTTTCAAAACCCCCATGAACCTCCAAATGACAGCTGTCTGGCTTTACAGTTTATGCAGATTGATTCGATACATTCTTCGTTATTTTATTCAATCTTCTATAATATTCTATAATATAATTCCCCAACACTGATTGAAAATAGAATACAATATTTTTTTACCTTTATTAAACGCGAAGTAAACCGTTGAATAAACAGGCGGGAAAATAAATGAGCAGAACCAAAGAAGTTTTTTCACTTAGTCGCATGGGGTCAGGGGCGGAACTACCATACCGCCAGACCCCGCAATGCGGGGGGGCCCAGGACGTTTAGGGGCCCAGTTCCGACCAAAAAACAATGAATTTGTTTTTCAAAAATTATGTTTTTCATGCATCTTAAAAGTGGTTTTGTAAAAAAAAAAAAAAAGTCTACTATAGCAGAGATTGTTGCGTAGAAAAATATTTTATAATCTACAAGAGCTATAGTTTGAAAGGTAGGCAACATTCACACTACTTCCATGACTTACTGCCCTTCTTTAAAATAGGGATGCCCACAAAGCTCATTTAAATAGTTTTGTGCTATGTATATTAAAAAGCAATTAAATTCTCTGAATTATTATTTAAATAAGACGTAATAAACAATGGTATAGCCATAAAAATCAATGTTTTCAAAATTGATATTATAAAAGCCAAAAATGAAAAGAATAAACATAACGCGAGAAACCATTCACGAATCAAGCTTACGTCTTTATATATTTTTGACCAGCATGTTTAGAAGTGATTTTGATAATTTCTAGCTTAAGATGAGTTTGGACCAAATTTGTCTGGATTGTTCTCCCAGAATGGTTTTATATTGCAATGAAGTAGACTAAATTACTCAGTTAGGATATAGATATTATATATATATATATATATATATATATATATATATATATATATATATATATATATATATATATATATATATATATATATATATATAAATGTAACGAGTCCCCGAGTCTATCCTGCCGACAACGCCAAATGTGACCTTCCCGAGTCTAACCACTCATTCCACACAACATTGACCACAGCATAGATACTCGAAGATGCAGGTTCATTATTGATCCTTTTATTACATGAATCAAAGAATGCTTCACAATAATATAATGAATCAAGAGAGATGTTTCACAATAATAGTCTGAATCAACTGACCCCCAACAGTCCTCACTAGGCTTCATCTAACTGAATACACATGTCTAACGTCCTTCTTAACACAATATAACCAACTTGATACTGCCTGACCGAGACTCACTGAGAGAGAGAGACTGACGGACTGACTGACAGACCTTCTGAGACCGACTTTCTGAGAGACTTCCTGAGAGACTTCGAGCTCAGCCGTCGCCTTCCTTATATCCCCTTCATAATCGTACTCATATTCGGTCCTATCATAATCGTAATTGTAATCGATTCTAATCGTTACATCAGACTGTTAATTACGCCGCTTCTGTCGTACAGTCCGATTTTAATAAGCCACCTGCATCCTGTCACATCAAAGTTGACAGACCGTCTTTCGTATCGCTTCCCGAGATATTACGCCTTGGCATCAGCCAACACCTGCACTGTGACGTCAGACTGTAACACGTTATGTCTCTTGGTAACTTCCCCTAGTTACATCCACCCCTGCCTTTTTTTGTGTGTTATCAACCACAAACAACGCTTGGCAGGTGCAGTCCTTCAAAGTCCATCGCACCACCGTAAAAAAAAATTTATTGTTCCATTCACTGTCAATGTCGTCCCATTCGTATAAGATTGACAGTTATCCCTATTTCACATATCAAATGTGTCTACATCATCTTCCTCAGACACAAAACAGTTCTAGAATTCACATCCACCTTTTTTCGTCTGGTGCCTTCACCAGTTCACTTTTATGACTTTTTGAACAGTCTGTTCTCATACCAGCGCGACCATGAAAGAATTGATGGTTGCTGACAAAAAATTTCGTATATATTTCTGTTTCTCAAACTTCTCCGCGGACCACTTATGTGATGGTCTACTGTCTCTCTGCTTTTGGAGGGACCGGGATCCTCTTTGTTGCCGGTATCCTCCCTTTGTGTGTCGCTGTTGCGCTGTTGATGGTGACATGGTTCCGGGATGGGTATGAGAATTTCCGTTATAGTTTCCGGTTCCCTAATTGTCTTGGGTTTCCTTGTGTGTAACTGCTCTTCTTGACTATGACAATATTTCTTTAATTGAGCAATATTCGCCCACCGATCCGGTTTGGTGTGATCGATGGGTCTTATCTTAAAGGGGCCACCTGCTACTTTAGGCATCTCCACGACTTGCCATATCTCCTGTCCCCAGAGGTCGTGGATTTTGTTTCTGCCTAACGGGTGGCTACGCAGTAATACCCTGTCGTTCAGTTTGAGTGGCGGGTCCTTTGTCTGTACCGGCGGTTCCCTTCGCCGTGCTTCATGTTCTAGTCTTTCCTGTACTACCCTGTACATTTCTCTAATTCGTCTCATATGTTCATTCACATATTCCAGTGCAGTGTATGAGCCAGTCATACTCTCCTTTTTTCCTAGGAACAAGTCAAGGGGGAGTCGAGCCTCCCGTCCGAACAGCAACATGTATGGCGAAAAGCCGGTTGTGGCATGGGGGGTGCAGTTGTATAGATATACCAACTCTGGGAGAAAATCAGGCCAACGTTTTTTCTGTTCAGGTTCTAGGGTACGCAGCAAATCATGCATGCTGCGGTTGAACCGCTCGCACTGTCCGTTTCCTTTCGGATTAAATGTGGTTGTTCTAGATTTGTTGATCCCGTAGTGGCTGCACAGTTGGTTAATTACTTCTGACTCGAAGGCCCTTCCTTGGTCAGAGTGTAATTGTCTTGGTATGCCATATTTGATGAACCAATGTTCTATTAAGACCTTTGCCACTGTTTTGGCAGTCTGATCTCGTGTGGGCACCGCCACAGTCCATTTGGTGAAAACATCAGTCATTACCAACACATGTTCCGTCCCATCCGATGATTGCTCCAACGACGTAAAGTCCATAGCCACAATCTCTAGTGGTTTTGTCGCTAATAGGTGTCCCGATGGCTGTCTCATTTTGACAACTGGCATTTTCGCATGCTGACACCTCACACAAGCCTCACAATGGCGTTTGACCTCCATTTCCATATTGGGCCAGTAACACCTTCGTCGTAATATTTTGTGCGTCCTGTCCTGACCCTGGTGTCCTGCCCTGTCATGTGCCAACCTTAGCACTTCTTCTCGTAATTGTCCAGGCACCACCACCTGGTGTATTGTCCCATCAATTTGGTCATGTATTCTCCGCATGAGAACACCATCCTTTATACTGAGACGGTCCCACTGACTCAGTATTTTCTTTGTTTCTCGACCAAATTGTTCTCTTTCCCTTCTTCCTGGGAATTTTTGTTCCTGGACGTGTTTCAACAGCGGCTGTAAGCCACTATCCGTTCTCTGGGCATTTCTTATCTCTTTGTGATTAAGGCAACTAAAATCACCAATGTCCATATGTCCGGGCTCTGTGGAAATGTGCTCCACCCCGGTCTGTCCGTTCTGCCTCACTTGCACCCCGTGAGGGATA